AGTCAGTATAATGTTGCCTGTGGATTTGTCCTATATAACTTTCATTAATTTGAGGTATGTTTCTGCTATGCCTAGTTTATTTGAAGGGATGCTGGATTTTAACAAATGTTTCTCTACATATATTGAAATGATCAAATGATTTTTGTCTTTAATCTGTTTATTTTGTGAATCACATTGATTGATTTGCATATGTTGAACCTTCCTGTTATGGCCATTTGTTGTTGTTGTTATTGGGAGATGCTTTATTACTGATTAAATCTTGCTACTCATTAATGGGCTGTTCAGGTTTTCTATTTCTTTCTGATTCAAAATCAGGGAGGTTGTATGTTTCCAGGAGTTTTTCCATTTCCTCTGGATTTTATACTTTGTGCACATAGGGGTGTTCATAGTAATAGTGAATGAGCTTTTGTGTTTCTGTGGTATCAATTGTAATGTCTTCTTTTTCGTTTCTGATTGAGTTTCTTTGAATTCTCTCCTTTCTTTTCTTGATTAATTTAGCTAGTGGTCTATCAATTTTGTTTATCTTCCCAAAGAATTTTTTTTCATTGATATGTTGTATTATTTTTGTTGTTTCGATTTCATTTAGTTCTGCTCTAATCTTTGTTATTTCTTATTTCTTCTTCTATCTTCAAGTTTGGTTTGTTCTAGTTTTTCTATTTTCTTGCTGTTATTCTATTTAGCTTATTTTTTTGGTGCTATCATATTTTCATTTTGTTTTCATCCATGACTGCTTTTGTTTATGTTCCTCCTAATGTAGGCTTTATAACTGAAAGTTTATTTTTTCCCTTCTACTTCTTCCACTTGCTCTGCTAATTCATGCATCATCTATGTTATCTACCATATCTTTCCTGAATTATTATATCTGTGCTTTGACTACTGATTTATGTCATATCTTGTTTCATTAGTAATCATTTCTAATTAAATGAAAATATATTTTGTTACAATTTTTATCTTGTCCTTTAAATTATTTTTCTTTTCTACCTAGTATTTTATGTCTTTTCTTTAGTTTCCTGTTTTCCTCCTTTTAATTCCAGTATTTTCCTATCAATCCTGTGCTGGTTTCTTAATTTGAGTTGAATTTTTGGAACAATAATTTCCAGAAATATTGTGTAAGACAGGATTTTTTTTATGACATATTGAATTAAGACATCATTTCCTTAGTTTGTTATTGAAATAAATTATTACATTCAAGAGACCTTCTATATTTAGTTATAGCTTTTAAAATCTCTTAGCTTAGGCATCCCTACTTATTCACCTTGACCTTCATCAACGAATGCTATCTTAAAATAATATAAGAAGTATCATTGGTAACTTGAAAATGTCTGAGCAAAAAGAGTTGATTTATTCTAATTCAGGGTTAGCATCATGCCACCTGACCTTTAATTGAAAAAAACAAAACAAAACAAACGCGCACTTCAATAAATAACAAAAGAAGTCTTTAAATGATACTGAACATATAAGCATATTATGACTATGTCAGAATTATTAAGTATAGTATAAGGAAATAAAATCCTTGGTAGATTTCTCATTGAACAAAACTGTATTGACATGATTCAGTAAAAATAATTGCTAACAGATATTTTGCATGTCTTTTTAAATAGAACAATTAATAACAATATTGTGATCACCAGTAAATATCCCTTAGCTATGCTATTTACACTGTAGCTGTGTTATTTATCTTTGAGATTTTGATGAAAGATTTCTGACACTCTGATTTTTCTATAACTTTGAGGATATACAGGGTTTTTTTCTTTTTTAGCAGATAGAAATTTCTGAGTTGTAGTGACACATAATTCCAACCTATATATTTTTTTATATTTTTAAGATTTAAAAAATCTATACCACTGCAGGTGAGTAGAATTTGAACTCTACCATTTAAACTAATCATAGTCCTGGGACTGAAAACTGAGTTAGAAAAAAGGTGAACAGACCTCTGAAGGTAAGTCCCAATAACTATGGTCATTTGAGGCTGAAATAAAATTAAATAGAATAAATAAGCACAAACTAACATGAAATGGAGCATTACTAAGGCAATTTTCTGTCTATCACACCTATCTTGGAGGAGAAACTCTTTGGAACCCAGAAAAATATCTTTTCTGTGGCAGAGCCCTCCAGTAGAATATTTTCTTAGACCCTTCAAGATGTTGAATTCCCTCATTGATAAATTAAAGTCATATTTAAATATAATCTGTTTCTTTTCCTTTTCCCTATGTCTGGAGAATTTGACCAGAAATTTCTGCCAAAACTTATCTCAATGTTTATATAACACTGAACTAATACAGACTGATAGAAAAAAATGATACATTTAAAGGGAATGACTGTAACCAAAAATTACCTACCTCTGAAATTCTTTTAGTGTAAAAATAATGGGACATTTTTAATATGTTAATTAATGTATGAGAATTTATTTTCAAAGAATTAAAGAAATGTTTTGACATTTATGAAACTGTAACAGTGAGTCATAAAGAAAAATCAGTTGAAATAAGAAAACCTATATGAAATGCAAAACAAAATTATTAAATTACAATAATATATTTTGATAATAATAATAAGAATGAATTAGGTACACAAGACAAATTTGGAAGGAGGAGCAAGCACTGAAGAAAATTTTCCCAAATTAGGATATTTCTGAGGAAAGGAACAAATAAAAATTAAAATGAGGCTAAAGTAGGACAAATTCAGCTAATCTGGCCCATTTATAATAGGACTAAAGTAGTTGAGAACAGAGCAGAGCAAAAATAAAAGACATATATCTGAAAATTCACCAAATAATATATTTGAACATTCAGATTAAAAATCTCTTTGAAAATCCTGACAAAATTATTTTAGATAAATAATATTTAGATATATTTTGGTGAAATTTTATATATGTGTATCAGTTCCCATGGCTGCTGTAACAAAACAACACAAATCTGATGGATTAAAAAATATAAATGTATTCTGTCACAGTTTTGGAAGTCAGAAGTTTGAAATCAGTTTCATTGAGTTGAAACCAAGGTGTTAGGCTTATCCTCCCTCCTTAGGCTCTAGGGAAGAATTAATTCCTTGTCTCTTTTAGCATTTGGTGGCTGCTGACATTCCCTGGCTTGTGACTGCATCACTCTGATCTCATTGCCTGTAGTCACATTGCCTTCTTTCCTTCTTTGTGCCAAATCTCCCTCTGTCTTCCTCTTATAAGTTTACATGTAATTTAATTTAGTGCCTACCTGCATAATTCAGGATTGTCTCCCCTTCTCAAGATCTTTAACTTAATGACTTCTGAAAAATTCTATTTACAATATAACACTTAAAAATTCCAGGGATTAGGCATGGGATTTTATATATAAGGGATATATAGGGGATATATAGGGGAGCTATATATTCAGTATACACAATGTATGTACATGCACATGCATAAATCCTGAAAGTATTTAAACAGAAGTTATGGATTAAATGCATAAGAACAAAACTCCAGTTGCTCTTAGACTTTGATTCTTAGAGAATTGTATGGAGTTGAGAGAATATTTTAATAGAAATAAATTCAACCAAATATTCATGAATTTCTGAAGGCAACCAAAAGATTTTTTCAGCTAAAAAAAGAATTGGTTTAACTTTCCTGAAAAACTAAATTTTTTGAATTACAGATGAATGAGATGTGAGTCAAAGTTAGAAAGGGAAATTGTTTTATAAAAGTTTGTCAATAAGCACTGAAATCTTAACAGAGAGTTACACATTGAATTGAGTTTCAGTACTGGAGTGCCGGCTCTGCTCAGTCCAGATTCACACTCAGTCTCTAGGTAATCTCCTTTGGTCTTATGGCTTTACATACCAACTTTATGCCGGAGACTCCCTACTCTATATCTCTAATACAGATATCTGTCTCAACTCCACTGTCATTTAACAAAGTATTTGCTGTCTTTCTTAGACATTTAATAGCCATCTTAAAGTTAACATGCTCTGAACCAAACCTTTGTTTCTCTATTTAAACCTGCTGAGCTACTGGCTTTCCCTGTCTCAGAAAATAATAACTCCATTCAACCATTTATTTAGGCAGAAAATCTTGTATTCACTATTTATTACTCTCTTTCTCTTGGCTAATTCTGTTAGCTGTTGCTTAGAAATATAAGGAATGTAGTACCTCTCAATTTTCCACAGGCACCTCAAGCCACCATCCTCTCTTGCCTAACATCATTGACTAGCTTGCTCTATCCCCAAACTTGTTCCTCTGTAGTCTAATCTACAAAGAGCCGGAGTGACAATTCTAAAATGAAGTATGATCATGATCATGTTATTAATCTGTTCAAAGCCCCACAATGGCTTCCAATCTGTCCCTTTCCTCACTCCAGACTCTATTTCCTGCATCTGCTATCAGCCTTCCTTGTTTCTTCCAGCAGCATAGGCGTCTATGCTATTTTCTAAACACAATAAAGGAGGAGAAGCACCTTCAGGGCCTTCTCATTTGTTACTTCTGTCTGAACGGATTTTTCCCCCAGATATTTGCATTGCTTGCTGCATCATTTTCTTCAGGTTTGGCTGACATATCATCTGTTATCAGGCAGGCCTTGCCCCACTGTAAATTTCTATTTCCTTACTGTGTCATATTTTATTCATGGTCCTGACAATATATAATTATATGGTTCTTTGTTTTTTCATTGTGTATCCCATATCACTAGAATGTGAGCTCCAAGAGAGGAGATTTTTCTGTTTTGAGCACTACTGTATTCCAGGTGCCCAAAACTATACTTGGAAAATAATAATAATAGGTGCTAAATGGTAAATGAAAATACATCCTGGTATATCCTGAGACATATTTTGAAATATAAATGTATGCAAATACATATGCATTATATATAGTGTGCATTTTTATAAAATAAAAACGTTGATTAATAAACGTATATGGAGCTATACCCAAACAATAAAGATTATTTATGATCAGTATGATTGTAGGGTTTTTCTTTTTTTATGTTGATATTTGTAAGGTTTTTTTCAATGAGCACATATTTTTAAAATAAGAACTTATATTAGTAACTTTTTTTTGCAGATAAAGAAAAGAAAAGAAGAGAGGATAATTAAGTGGGGCACAGATATGTAACCACCAAATTGTTTTGAAGTTAAAGGACCTCAGGTACCTGTCCTCCTATATAGTGCAGAGCTCTCCTCCAAGGCTGCCTTTAAAATCTGTTTAGTACCTTAAATGAAAAAAAAAATCCCCAAAGATTCCACCACTGAATATCTTTAAATGAGATCCAACCTAGACTCACTTCACTGAAATTGACATCCTATCCATTGGCGTGATTATAGTGATGTGATAAATCAAATATCTTTTATTAGGACCTTAGCATATAATAGTTTACATTTTTCTTCTTCCATCAGATAATGACAGTTAAAAAGAGGTCGAAAAGAAAGAAGAGATTCTAAGAAAAGTTACAAAAGTTAGAATATATTGCAGGCAATGAGAAATGCATGTGAAATGTGGAATTCTGTATAGAAGTGCCAACCAATGATCAAGAACCTTAGGTGATTTGAGATTTGAGGCTTTCCTTGATAACCTTCAGTTCACTATAAGTAAAGGGCTGTCTCGCTAACTGGCTGGAGCACCAATTTAACTGGGAGGGAAGGCACAGCACTCACTCCCTGTCTTTGATATTGTCCAAAATCTGAAAAGAGAGAAGAAATAGTGTTCTGTTATAATTCTCATTTGATATTTTGTACATGACTTCAAGAGATAACTTCAAAGAAGATATTAAAACTGTATCTTTCATAGTTACGTGAAAATGTTAATTCACTTACCAATGAGAATATTGTGCACAGATTTGGTTTAAAATCAAAATGCCACAGCAGATGTTAGCATTTTACATTTTCATTTACTTATTACCTTGCACAAAGATAGCAACTTAAAATATCATATTACAATGTTGTAAAGCAAAGATAGCACATTTTAACAATAGAAAACCAAGGACATATCTTTAAGAGCAGTGCGAGAAGAAGCGTCTAGGACTAAAAATGTTGTTTTGTGCCTGCAGCAATAAACTAAAGGCACATTCACATGGATGTATTAAAAAACAACAGATAAATCAAGTTTTGAGAATCCTGAAACTCACACCCTGTTGGGAACCTTGCTAATAAAAATAATATAAAATTACAAATACAAAATTGCATATAGTTCCTTTGAAGGGGTCCTTATAAGTGAGGATCTCTGAAGCTTAAATTATATGAGCCTTATGATAAATATTTCTCGAAGAGAATGTTATTTTCTCGGGCCTGTTCCCAAAGGACTAAGAGTATAATGAAAATTTGCATTACAGATGTAAATGTAATCTTTTAAATCACCAATGACTTCTAGACTACTGCATAAGGATCTCTAGTGATTCTTTGCATTTCTTTTTTTAGAAAAAGAAAGAAAAGAAACACTTTATGCAAAATTAAAGAATCCATTTACTCAGAGCTCTTCTATAAGGAAAACAATATAACAATGTAAATTTAAATTTGACATAAAAAGGAAGAAAAAATACAAGAACTCTAAAAAACTAAAAAATACTAAAAATGAAAATGCTAACAATTTAAGTTTAACACTGCTATGCAAATTATCATCTGATTGGGGTCTAAAAGATATTAGGAAAAGATTAACAAAAAATTAGGTATTCAAAACTTGTAAGTTCAAGTTCTGCTATCACTTCATGAAATTGTGAAAGGAATCACTTTCTGGGCTGGGCGCGGTGGCTCACTCCTGTAATCCTAGCACTCTGGGAGGCCAAGGCGGGCGGATTGCTCAAAGTCAGGAGTTCAAGACCAGCCTGAGCAAGAGCAAGACCCTGTCTCTACTATAAATAGAAACAAATCAATTGGCCAACTAATATATATAGAAAAAATTAGTAGGGCATGGTGGCGCATGCCTGTAGTCCCAGCTACTCGGGAGGCTGAGGAAGCAGGATATTGCTTAAGCCCAGGAGTTTGAGGTTGCTGTGAGCTAGGCTGACGCCATGGCACTCACTCTAGCCTGGGCAACAAAATGAGACTCTCTCAAAAAAAAAAAGAAAAGTTCGAGAGGAATCACTTTCTGAAGGAAGTCTGCTACAAGCAAATTTTTTTATTTTCCTGATATAGTAATAGAAAATTGGTAGAATTTAGAGTATATCTGAGACACTTTTAAATATTGGATTTTGATTCCTGTCAAAGTAAAAATTGTACCAGAGTTAAACAGGCAAAGAGACTTTACTCAAAACATTTGCAGTAGGAGGGAGATTGAACTCAACTCCACCGAAAGGAAAGATATGGGTTTTAAGTGCTCAGGCGAGCCAGTAGAGAAGTACTGGAGGCCATTAGGGAAAGGTTGAGTAATGGGATGTATGGAGCACATTGAGTTATCCCTGAGTTTGCACATTTTTTCCTTGTGCTTGGGCCATCTATGTTTGGAAATTGGTGTCTACTGAAGTCAGTGTTTTACCTTCCTACTTGAACTGGGAGATGGGAACCCTATCTCTTTCAGTGTTTACATTTCAAAATGATAGTTCCCAGGTCCTTGAGAAAGACATAATTGTCTGGGTAGTAAAAATGTCTAGAGGCTGGTGAAGATTTATATGAGTTTCAAAGGGGAAGAGAAAGAACTTATAATTGCAAGTTTGCTTAAGTAACTGTTCTAAGAAAAGTGAAGTCAAAGGCCTACAATCAGGAAAAACCTGTCTAAACTTTCGCCAAGCTGAGGGGAAAATTAAGGCTATCTTGGTCAAGGTTAATAATTTTGAATTTATATTCCAAATTGGTTTAGATATATTAGTAACATTCTTCTGTGTTTTTTTTCTTGTGCTAAAATTGGGAGTGGCTATTCTAGATAGATAGATGATAGATAGAGATGTTATTTGCCTATTTATTTTCAATGATTTAGAATGATTTACATTCTAAATACATTTATATTCTTAAATACGTTTACAATATATTCTCTAGAGATTTCTTTAATAATTTTTTCTTTTTGTCTTCTTTTTCCTGAACTGTTAAAGAAAACAATTAAAGGAGGTTGGGCATGGTGGCTAACGTCTGTAATCCCAGCATTCTAGGAGGCCAAGGTGGGAGGATTGCTTGAGGCCAGGAGTTTAAGACTAGCCTGGGTAAAAAAGTGAGACCCTATTTTTACAAAAAATTTAAAAACAAATTTTCTGGGTGTGGTGGGTGTGCAGCTATAATCCTAGCTACTCCAGAGGCTGAGGCAGGAAGATCATTTGGGCCCAGGAGTTTGAAGTTACAGTGAGCTGTGATGACGCCATTGCTCTCCAGCCTGGGTGACAAAGTGAGACTGCCTCAAAAATTTTAAAAAATCAAAAAACAGAGAAAGAAGAAAAAAGGGAATGAAAGATCTTACTTCAGGAAGACAAGGTAATACAGTTATTGCCTCAAACAAAAGACTTCTCCTAATGCTTTTTAGATTTAAAAAAATCTTAGCACTCACCTACTTAGTTCTATAATTATTAAGTAATTAATCCCAAAATTTCTTTATGAATTTATTTAGAAGGATTATTCATATTTGTGACAGCTCACAAAGATAGTTGATACTTAACACAAGTACATGGGAAAATAGGAATTTAAATTATAATTTCTTATATTGAATCTGAATTATTGTTATTAATTATAGTCAAGTGAGCAAATTCCAGATTAGCTCAAAGTAAATAATGAAACTTCTGTAATAACTGCAGTTATATAAACCATCATAAAATATTATGTATATATTTCAGTTACTGTTTCTTGTTTTTCAAACATACCTATCCTCAAAGCATATATTGATTGGTAAAAATAATATTCTGAAAAGATAAATTTCTAGTGTAGGAGCCTTGGAAAATAAGTGTGTACTTCAAATTTATTCTGAACATACAATAATCTCTGTTATAGTTCCTTGTTCAGAGAAAAACAATTAGTTTCCAGATATCAGTAACAAGTGCATTTCCTTCTAACATATAATTGCACATTTTATAGTTATGTGCTTGTGGATACTACAGTTGTATGAATATTACCTCAGTTCTTTAAATTAACCATCTAGAATGGGTCATTGATTCCCAAACTTTATTGCACATTGGAACCAACTAGGGATCATTAAGAAATATTGATGCCTCACTCCCACTCTCACATTGTGATTTAATTACTATGAGGTGTGGCCTGAATATTGGAATTTTTAATGACTTCTCAAGTTATTAACCTTCAAGTGCCTAGATAGCCCATTTGGATAAACTCAGTTCCAAGTGGCCACAGTGATAGCTCTTCCTCCTCCTCCTCTACTTCCTCCTCCTTCTCCTTCTCCTTCAGCTGTTCCTCTTTCTCACTATTTTTGCCTTATGCTTCCTCCTGGCTCCCCAAAGACTCATAGTGCAATTTTGTTCCCATGTAGCATAAGTGAACTCTGCTGTATCTCAGCATCCCATTCTTCTATTCAATCAACAAGCAACAAACACATAATGGCAGCATCGTGTAAGCAGTCACTAACTGGAAATCCAGAGTTGAATCTTACAATATCAAAAGCTCAATTGCCTTGAATTGAAAGCTAATTGCCTTGAAAATTCAGGTTTTTTTTCACCTTTAGGGTAACAATAAAGGATTAAACTAAGGTAAGAAAATGGACAATGTCTGGATGAAAAATCAGCCTTCTCTTGTCGAGATATTTGAGTTTTTATGTGGTATGTGTATGGCAGTTTGTGTTAGGATTCACCTCTAAAATCATTATACCACTTCTGTTGCCTTGTCATCTCATTTATTGTTAATTCTAACGATGAAATTTTGGATCAGGGACAGGAGAGATCAGAATAAGCTAACCCATGGAAGCTAAAGGCTAATTGTAGAAGAAAATCTCTCTCTCCTTTTTCAAAAATTTGTGAATTTTTGATATTGTTCACATTTGATATAGTATTAAATTTGTGGGGTGGCTATATAGAGGTTTTAATCATTTTTCCCCCTCCAATCCAAACCTGTAATGTCTTCCCTGTATTTTGGTTGAAAATATTTTAGTAAATTGCTGACAATATAATATAAAATTTCTTTCTTCAATTAATTTATAAGTATAGTGTTTTCCAATTATAGTAGCACTTCCCAATTATGTATCAAAAATGACAACTGGCCTTAACATAATATATATGCTATTTTTAATATTATTTGATAATTAACAGATAAGTATATGTAATAAATATATATTTATAAAATATTTTATGGTATCTTACATTAGTTATTGATGCTTAATTAGATGATTATCATATGATCATCACAGATTCTCCCTTTGTAGTATTCAAACCACCCTGATGTTTTCCCCCTTATGTAGTTATTCAGTGAATTTCTTCACTGTAATACCATGCTGGACATTAATAGACATTTACATATATAAATGTATGGAAGTATGTATTTACATATGTGTGTGTATGTGTTTCTAAGCCTAGTGGTCTTTGCTCTATTTTTGGTCAATTTGAAGTTTCCATCAAGATTGTTTTAATAAAATTCTTCTCATTTACATTTACATTAAGAACATTTAACTCTGGGAAGCCAAGGCAGAAGATAGCTTGAGCTCCGTGGTTTGAGACCAGCCTGGGCAAAAGCGAGACCCCATCTCTACTAAAAATAGAAAAATTAGCCAGGCTTCGTGGCCTGTGGCTGTAGTCTCAGCTACTTGGGAGGCTGTGGCAGGAGGATCCCCTGAGCTCAGGAGTTTGAGATTGTATTGAGCTACAATGATGCCACTGCACTCTACCCAGGATGGCAGAATGAGACTCTGTCTCAATTAAAAACAAAACAGAACAAAAGGACATTGGACATTTAGTTAAAAAAACTTAAATTTCTTATTTTTCTGATCATCTTCATTTTATAAACAAAACACTTTTGTTGAATTTAGTATGGCTAAAGCTGCAATAGGAAATTTTGCTAACTATTGAGTTTGTCACCCTTCTGCAGCAATGTCTGGAAGATTCCATTTACTAGAATATTATGCAAAAAATGTCACAGATAAAATTATGTTATGATTTAACCATTGAATTTAGCTTTGGATTGGCCAAAACTTAATTACTTTACCTTTAAAAATTATACTTTTCATACTGATATTTAACAGCCAATTTTTGGAAAAACTAAACTAGCTGTAATGGTATTTTTTAAAGCTATGTGATTTGTTACTTTGATCCTTATATATATTACATGGATACCACAACATAAAATATAATGACTTTTCAGTACTTAAATAACTGATTCAAGCTAAATATGCGGACACTGGTTGGACCTGCTACACTTGTTCTGTAGTAGCCTTAGAAACAAATTTCTCTCACAGCTTTGAGAAATGTACCTAAACACTACCAATACCAAAATTAGATGATAGCCCCCTTAACTTTGTATATGTTTGCTAAAATAATATTTCCCTACATTCTGCCCTCTAGGAAGGATTTTATGCCATTCCAGTGTTTTAATATTTATACATTGTTAACATTTTAATTGACCAAAATGTTTTGTTTTTTTTTTCAACTATGGGCCTTCTGAAGTACAAAAATCCAAGGAGAAGTCAAAGATGCTGATTTTCGTGTTTCTCCTTTGGCTTAGAGGGGAGTCTCTGAATTAGAATCTTGCATTTAAAGTCACTTCCATATGGCAATCTCAGTAAATGAACTCATATACACTGTATTATACAATTTTTTTCTTTGTTTGTTTGTTTCATAACCTTAATTTAGCATCCTGCAATCATGCTAGACATAATAGATTCACATGAGCTTATATACAGAACAAACACAGAGGAGTTTATGTGTTGGCTAATATTTCTTATTGCATTTAGATAAATGATTCAGGTAAGTCAAGGAGTGTGTAGGTATGATTCAAGAGCAAATCAATTGGTTGTCCAAGGTTGGAAAAAGTAGTTTGTTGAATCTTTTTATAGGGCTGGGACTTGTCAAATGAGGGAAATTACAGGTGTTCTATAAATAGTAGTTCCCCTTTCTAATTCTTGATCTTACCAAGTGTATTTTTAAAGAGTCATTAATGCTGTTGAATAGGGATCAACCTGATAATTTCATATATCAGAGGATTCTACATCAAAAGTAGACTAAAGTGATTCAGAAAAACATACTGGATTCCTGGAAGAATGGCATTTGAAATGAAGATAGTGGTGTAGTATGGAAAGCCTGATAATTTATCTATCCTTTGTGTGGTAGTTTCACTTCAGAATAAGGGAGAAACTATAAAGTAAAACCTTTTATTTATAATAGTATTTAAGTGATATCAAAACTGACTTGGCTTTTATCACAACTATCTCCAAAGTACCAAGAACTTAGAGAGGCTCTTTGAGTAAGAATGGTAGACGCATACTCTATTTAACTGTAGACACATTTATGGCCAATGAAAAATAGGACATGCTTTAACTGTCAGCATACGGACCTATAGAATACTTTGTCCCATTCTGCTCAGTTGATTAGAAAATTTTAATTTAATTTTTAATTTTAATTTTTTTATTTTTGGGTTATAGAAAGGGTAATACACATATGTACATGTTTGGGAAGAGTTGGGAATTGGGGAAGATAGGAAGAGCAAGAGTTGAATGAATAAGGAATATAATTTGAGGACTGTAAACATACATATTTTTAAATATGTATAATTATATTTGTTATGTATTATATTTTATCTCTTATATTTTATGTCTTGGTAGCAACAGGTTGCTTCTGTCCTAAGGTGTTTCCAAGTGGGTGAGTCTCTTATTTTAAGATCCATTCTTTCTTTTATATATTAAAAAAGGGGCTAATGATTGTATGTGTTTGTTTTAATATCACATATTGACATTACATTTATAAGTTAATTAGAAGACATAATATTTGAATTATAATATCCAGTGTTTCACGATTTAATTCATTTAAAAAATACCTTTTTATGAGTGATGATGAAAATACATATGTGACTAAAAGGAGAACACTGATAATTTTTAGAAAAAATCTTAAAGTTACTCAGAAAAGAGAAATTGAAGCAAGACATGGTTTTAATATGCATATAATTAACTGTTGAACTTTATATTGTGAAATTTAATTAAACATGTTATAGCTATTTGGGTTTTGACATGCTAGGTAAAATACTAAGTGAAATTGTGAGGAATCAATATTATCCTTCTGGCATTATTGTTTCGGCTACATAATAGCTTTTTTAGTAGGTGTGTAAGAGAGCTACTGATATTTTTGCCTTGATCTACAGGAAAATGGACATTCTATAAAGGGTAAATCTATTAATTAGAGACCCACACAGCTTTCTTTCTTGCTAGTGTAATCATTAAATTGATTTTTCCAGTCCATCATGTAATTGCTCCAGCGATGAAATCCTGCTTTCCACTCTTGTTCTGCTTCATCAATATTTCCTGTAAAACATGGAATGAGTTATATTAATTAAAATTCTAATCTCTGTTTACATTAATTGAAAAATAATTTTGATTATAGATGTCAGTATCTCCAAGTATACTGCACAGCAGATTTTTCCTTTTTTATTTATTGTTCACTATTCATTAACAATTTCCCTTTCTACCTGAAAAGCTTTTAATAAATTGTTATATATTATATAAAAATGCAAATAATATACATGTGTAAAATGTATATGAAGTGTACAAACACATAAAATGAAAAGTTAGTTTATATATTATATTATGGAAAATTACATAATATATTTTCTTTAGTTTTTAAGAAGATACATAGATATTACTCTCTTTTCTTGAATCCTTTTAATACAATAAAAACCTTATTAAATGCATCTCATTCACATATATAATTATATAACAGTGTATTATTTCTCATGAAAACTTCATATGAATAGAGTGGACCTTGGTACTCATGTGGAGTTGGTTCCATAACCTCTTAGGAATACCAAAATCCCTGGATGCTCAAGTTCCTGATATAAAATGGCATAATATTTGCATATAATCTATGCACATCCTTCTGTATACTTTAAAACATCTCTAGATCATTGATACCTAATATAATATAAATGCTGTGTAAATAGTTATATTGTGTAGGGAATAATGACATGAGAAAAAGGTCTGCATATGTCCAGCATAAATGCAATGTTTTAATTGAATATTTTCAATCTGTGGTTGGTTGAATCTATGGATGTGAAACTCACAAATACAAAGGGCTCTCTGCATTTATTTACCTATAAGGATAACTTTATAATTGCTATTCCGTGTAAATTTTACCCTAATTACAATATATTATAATTCCAAATACTGCTTAGTTTTTGTTTCAATCAACTGTGTGAAAGTAGTTTATTAATTGCTTTGTAAAACAAAAAGATGACTAAAACAATATCTGTTTCAAGTACTTTGCAAAGTATATGTATGTGTCTGTACAAAGGAGTGTTTAGCCAGAAATAATGTGAGGCAATGAACCAAAAATGGTCTATAACTTTTAAGAACCTTGAAAAGCTGATTTGCTTAAAAATGTATTATATTAAAGAATAAGGTTTGTGAGTAATAGAAACTATTAAATTATAAAGTTTTACAACATATATTTCTGGTCCTGATATAAGTATATATGATAAGGCTAGAAAAGGGTTTAAATCATTTAAATCTATAAGCATTTTATACATTCCTGGTTCTCTTATTTTTAAAACTTTTAGAATACTAAGCTATAGTCACTTAACTAAAATCAAAATTTTAAGTAATTTCAAGTATCCTGAAAATAGGGAATGGTAACTTTTAAAAATATATACTTTAAGTTAGAAATCTTTGAAATTAATTATAACTTTGTAAGATATTAATTTGGAGGATCAATGATTCATTTTAAGTTTATATGGAATCCAAATATTTAAAACATTTGTATAGCCATTAAAATATCCTTTGTAATTTAGGATATATTTAGGTTTGAAATGTTCAGAATGCTTGGGCATTGAACAAATATTTAAATGTATATAAAAGTTCCACTTTTATATAAAAATGGCTTTTAAAAAGGTCAATGATTATAATTTGGGGGGAATAATAGAACTTTTCTAAAGGATCAAAAAGCATTAGATGTGGAATAAAAATGTTAAATATCATGCCAAATTATTCACTTTTATGCTCTTTTCAAATGATAATTAAATATTATCTTAACTGATATACAAAATAAGTACTATAAAGTTCAGAAAAAATATTTTTGAAATACCAAATAAATTATTGGTAATTTAGCACTTAGACCATGAATTTTAATACTTATAGAAAAGAGCTGATGTTCTTTTCTTGTTGGAAAATGGAATGATATCAAATCTATTTATTCATATGAATGTAGACTTATTTTCTATGTGTCATAATCAAATGCCTATAAAATTTACTGTTTGAAATATGTTTTAGTGCACAAATGCTCTGTAAATTTGAGTTCTTTTCTCCTTTAGAAGTAATAGACAATGATTGAGACAATAAAATATAAAACATTTAGTTGTTTTTAACAAAATTTGGAGGAAGCAAATACACCATACTAAGAAAATGAATGTTTTGAATCCCATTAAATAAATCAAATCCAAAGTTAGAAGTTTTTTTTTTCCCTTCCCCTTCCTTCTCCTATTCATCCTCTTCATTTTCTTTTTTTCTGTCATTTTATCTTGGCTTCTTTGTTGTTAAGAATACAAAAGTTAGTCACCAGTCAATGTTTACATTATCATCAACATTAGCAATGAGTAAAATGATGTAACTTAAATGGCTGGTACATCATAAACAAAAACATTAGGGCTGGAACATTACAAACAAGTATTAAACTTGATTAGAAAATTTTAATTTACTTAAAATTTGAGGAGCAAAAGACCATTATAGTACACAATGCATCTACTCTATAGTTGAATAATTAAAACATAATTATATCATAGAACAGAATCATAATGCTCAAAAAATGTGGGTTTCCTAGATTGTAATCTTAAACAAAATGCACAATTTTAACTAAATATGTTCATTATTGAGGGCATCAACAAATATATTTTGTACAAATTCAGAGACATCAAGGAATAATAACCCTGCCATAAAATGTCTGTCTTCATGCCCAGTGGTATCTCAAAATCCACAAATGTGGTGGTAATAAGAAGAGCGATCATCATTCCCTAAATGTAAATATTTTTTGTGAGAAAAAATAAAAATAATAAAATGCTGAATGACTGAGAGAGGAAAAGAAAATGTGTAGAAATAAGAAAAGAAAGTGGAGGGTTGACACTACATTCAAACCTCAAATATGGATCAATCCCATCAAATATGGAGGCAACATTTTCTTCAAATAGGTTAACACTTGACACCTTGTAATTTGTTTTGGAAAGAACTTTAACTGGTAGAAAGAGTTTTGTTATGATCATTTTATCTTCTTTCAGTTGGTAATATTTTGTGTTTTGGACACTGTGACCATAATGGAATGATTAGCAAAATATACTATGATTTTAATTAATTTTTATGAAGAAAAATTGTGAAACAATTGATATTTCCTATGTAAAGAATATATATAAAGTCCTCTTTATTCATATTCTATAATGGCCATACTATATAATAATACATATGAAAAAATTTCTTATCTTTATTTATAATATTAACAATGGAGCATATGCTATTTATCCATTGTCCTCAGCTTATGGCTTTTAAATACTATATGTAACATACAGTAATACAAAGAAGTGAAATGTAAAAGAACAAGTGTAAATATGTAGCACAAACATACATAAAAGTTACTCATCTCTATTATTTCTTGAATAAAAATAGGGCAGAAATAAATAAGAATATTAAGATCCTTATTCAAATAACTATGTAGTAAGAACTTAGTTGATTTAAGAAATACTTAGAGGGAAGTTTAACTTTTGTGGGGAAAAGGGTGTTTTAAAAAGTGTTGTATTTTCTACCACCCCCCAAAAATTTCTTAAATTTGTATTTTTATAATAGGAATCTCGGTAATCTATTTTTATAACATAAAATGTATGTCAAAATTACAAATGATCATATGGACATATAAGCTAAAAATTTCCCTAATAGTTAAGATAGTGTGTGGATATTTATAACATATGTACACAGATATATAGGAATATTAATAAACAACAAATTTCTCCAAAGCAAATCTCTGTGTGTAAAGAAAAAGCAAACTTGCAATTACAGATATTTTAGAAGAAATTGTAAAAAAATTATGTACACAGTTGACCCTTGAACAATAGGGATTTGAACTGTGCAGGTACACTTTTATGCAGATTATCTTCTGCATCTGCCACCCCTGAGAAAGCAAGACCAACTCCTCCTTTTCCTCCTCCTCTGCAACCTATTCCACATGAAAACAACAAGGACGAAGACCTTTATGATGATCCATTTCCACTTAATGAATAATAAATATATTTTCTCTTCCTTATGATTTCTTAATAACTTTTCTCTAGCTTACTTTATTGTAAGAATACAGTGTATAATATATATAACATACAATAATATGTGTTAATCACTTATTTATATATCAGATTTCTGGTCAAGAGTGGGCTGTTTATTAGTAGTTAAGTTTTGGGGGAGTCAAATGTTACATGCAGGTTTCAACTGTGTAGGGCCTGCTGCCCCCCAACCCCTGTGTTGTTAAAGGCTAACTGTATATGCAAACTTATGGAATATTTCCAAATTTACATTCGGAGGCAAATTTATTGTTACATACTTTCATAGTGAAAAAAGAAAAAGCAATCTTAGAATAATTTTAAAAGAAAAAATAAAATAAATATAAGTAAAATAAGAGAAGCTAGCATATTCCTAATACAAACAAATTAGTAAACAAAAGCAGCTATTTGGATGAATGGTGCTACCTCATAAATGAAATTATTATGTTGATGGCATGTACTCCTCTTAAATTTAAAACTCTAAAGAGACTACGTAGAAAAACTTTTCTTTGCCGTGAAAGCTAATGCATTTATGAATCAATAACCAGAACAGGTCAGTCTCCCTTTTAAATGTACCAAGTGGCTTTGCTTAAGGTAGAAATTAAAATCCTTAGCATGACACACAAGGCACTTTATTTCTGATTCCTGCTTATCTGGCTTCTCTCCATTTTGCCTCATATTAAGATTCAGTGCAAGTATCTTCTCTTATAAGCTTTCCATTGTCCTGTGCCCTGACTCCACCACCTCGCTGTGTGTGAGCAGACCCTGTCATTTTCATTTGAGTAGCTTTAGCTGCTAGTACAGTTTCTAGTGCACAGTCACAGAGTATACATTCTGTAAAGGTTTATCAAATTAATTGATGAAAAAACCTTATAAAAAGATAAATTATATTTCTACTACGTATCTTGCTATAGATCTGATAACATGTCCTAAAAATGTTGAGAAATTAGTTGACTGTTAACTACTAGAAAAGACAATCCACTGAAAACCACCACAAATGCCTAGTTGTCTAGAGATTATTTTCTTCTTCTCATTTTTACATTTTCTAGGGTAATTGAAATTAGGAAAATTTTACTTTTATTTACATTAATAACATTTTTATGTTTTGTATTATTTAATTTCTTTTAAAATGACTAAATTAAATTGAAATAAAAATAAATAAATAAATAAATATTAATAATTTCAGGATAGTGACAGCAGAACATTAAGCCAACAGTGGGACTCTTCTGAGCACAGGGCCCCATTTGATAGCTCAGGACTTGCCTATGAAGAAGGTTCCGGTGGAAGACATGGGTTTTTAAAGGAGATGGCTTTGAACAGTCAATGTATCAGCTCTGTGTTTTTCCATACCTAGATCATCTGTTTGCAATGAAATACAGTATACAAAGGCTGTGAAAAGGAGCAAGCTATGAAGAAAATAAAACATTTAGTTGTGGTCAAAAAATTTTAAATAAAAATTGAAAATGTGATTTCGAAAGCAATACCTTCCCCCAACCCAGCCATTCTCCCCCCAGAAAATACTTATGTTAGCTTTAAGAAGAGTGTTAAGTGATATTTTGGAGAGGGTTATACCAGCATTCCTTATACTCAAGTAATTTTAACAATATATTAATCTTATACTTTAATGCAAGTATATTTTGTACCCTGCAGTAAAAGAAACTGTTTAAAAATTCTTTAAAGAATCAATAGCTAGATATGTATAAATAAAGTTAAATTTTGGCAGATAATAAATCATATGTGACATGAAAATTATAAATAATAAAGTTTTTATTTTCTAAAAAAAATTCCTAATGGTAAAGTGACAAATACACACAGAAAATATGAATATTTGTGATATAATATGCATAAATAAATTTAACTTAACTCATATTTTGACCTGAGTATCTTTTGGGAAAAGGATAGTTCTTTATACTTAGGCTAGCAATTTTAGTATAAATTTTAAGGTATATATATTACATAAATACAAGAAGTTAGAGGTGCTACATGTAAATATGAATAAATTAAAATAGATATATATGTACTTTGATACATATATGTACTTTGATACATATAATTTGTTATTATTACTATTTAGCTTCTTATGCCTAGTATTAAATCAATGAGATTAAACTTAATTTGTAACCATCTTAGTTATATGAGGGATTTAACTACTTTAAAATTAGTTAAAATGGTACAAAGTCTTTTACTGAATTCAAGACTGAGACAACCTGTTTTGTGCATGTGAATTTTGGGGAAATATAAAAGAAGGGAATGAATTTTTTAGATTTGATGATTCACAGGGTAAAGAGAAGGAAATAGTTATGGGAAGCAGTAGATGCAATAGTAAGTTCATAAACATATTGACTTAACTTTTTTTACTTCATTTTTTTCTGATTTTTGTTTTGGCCACATTGTAGTCTCATTTGGAAAAAAATGTCAGGTTTTCATCACTATGAGAAAAAAATACTAAAATTATTTTTTCCTCTTGCCAATAAATAAGTAAGCAAATTTTCACCAGAGGTGAGTCTATTTAGTCAAATCTGAGGAATTAGACATTTTAGTCTGTTTGGGCTACTATAACAAAATACCACACACTAGGTGGCTTATAAACCACAGAAGTTTATTTTTCATAGTTGTAGAGACAGGAAGTCCAAGATCAAGGCACTAGCATATTTGTTGTCTGGTGGGGGCCTGCTGTCTGGCTCACAGATGGCAGCCTTATCACCAGGTCCTCATATGGAGGAATGGGGGAGTTCTCTCAGTTCTTTCTAATAAGAGCATTAATCTAATTTGTGAGGACTCTGCTCTCACGCCTCATGACCTCCCAAAGGCTCCACTTTCTAATATCATTACCTGGGGGCTTAGGATTTCAACATATGAATTTTGGGGAAATACAAATGTTCAGACCATAGCAGGAGAGAACACTAGAGGTGAATCAACCCAAATTTGCTGATGGAGGTGAAGTTAGAAAAGATTTAATGATTCTTAATTCTGCTGAATATCATAATATAAAAAAAAACATAATTTTTATATTTGAGAGTTCACTGAAAATCTCTTCTGTATCTATGAAGTGCTTATTCTGTTTGTAGACCAGCTATTAAAATTATCAGGAGAATGTATAATTCTTCATGCAATAAATACCAAATTTTTAATTGTCCTGTTATGCTTTTGAGTGGGTGGTGGACTAGAATAAACTCAGCATACGTTTTCAGAAGACTTCATGTAATTTTAAAATGAAACAAATAATAAAGTTATAATTAAATTATTAATAAATAATAAATTTAAAAACAAAGTTACCCAAAGCCGCCTACTTATTTGTTATTTTCCCATCTTCGGTTGCCAGTCTTGTTAACCACTGTCATCTTTAGTGTCTGGCCAGTCTTGTTAACTGATTAGCAAATAGTGATAAATGATTCACCAAAGTGACCAATCTAAAGGGTATGTGAGCACTTAAATTTATATGTGATCTTGTTTAGTTTTGACAAACAACAATGTTCCATGATTTGTTCAAAGACCAGTGAAGGAACTACTGAGTCTAATTATTTTTCTTTATTGGGATGATATAAAGGTCAAAGACTTTTATCCTTTAAATAAATTTATTCCTTCACTTTTTGTGAAAATATATTGATATCCTTGACAATGAATGAGTCATTTCTCTAACTTTTTTCTTTCTTTCTTCAAATAAGTATGAGATACTGTGCAGATATATTGTTAGTGAAAATTTTCCCATCTTCGGTTGCCAGTCTTGTTATATATATCATGTCACAGAACATTTGCTAATACACCGAGCACTGGTATATCAGAAACATTTCCCAATCAGATGGAGTACATAAAAATTATAATTTTGGTGAGTACTGTCTGATAATCAAAAGACACATTAAACAATCAAATACATCTCTGATATGTCCATATTTACCTGAAACTAACTCCCAACTTCTCTAAACAAGAAATGAAAGCATTTACTATGTTGTATTATAAAAATCTAACACATAACATGGAAATTACAGAGTGCCAGAGTGCCATGGTGAACAGAACAGGAGACTCTGGAAGAACTAGCCAGCTATATGTCTGATGGTTGAAAGTCAATTACTTTTATTTGAAATTGAAATTTTTCAAATAAAAGTAGTAAATAGGCTTGAGAAACAACATAGGTTTTAAACAGCTGGGCTTTTTAAAACTGGGAAGTTAGTTGGATACCTATGTTATTTTTCTCAGTTTAAGATAATATATGTTTGATCACTCAAGTTGATTAAAATTAATAATGAGTATAAAATATGATAATATGAACTAATTTTCCTAGTATTTCCTTACATAATTATAAACAATCACTTCCTGAAAATTAGTCTACTAAATTACTGTTTATGATATTATATCATTTATATATAAATATGTGTGTATATGTGTTCTTAGATAAATATTTCCATGCTCAGAATATTTAGAAGTATTTGGATTGTATTTTTAAATATTTAAATTTTGGAGTTTTTTCCTGTCTAGAAATCAAGGGTTCTACTGTTTATCAATAAATTTGTTTTTACCTATTACTCAGTATTTGTTTTAATTCTATATATTGTGTTTATTTTATACATTTCTTTATTTATTTATCCATTAATTTCACAAAGATTATCTGAATAACAAGTAGGGCCTTGTTTTAATTCCCCTGATATGTTTTATGCTCCTCCAGGGGGAAATTTATATTTTAGTTTCTTTATTTAGCTACCAAAGTGCTGCTCATTGAGTAAGCTCGAAGAACATTAAAATAATGTATTCATTGGAATCAAGTAACTGTAAAGTCACAGATACATATATTACCACTATCACAGGCCTTGGATAGTCTGCAATTTTCCTCTTTTACATAATCCACAATCTATTAAATAACCAAACGCTAGAAAACACACACCTGTAATTTCCAAGACCTTGGGGAAAAAAAGTGTCCAGAATCGGCATTGTTGAGCACGTAGTTTAGTGTATATTCTTGGTGACTCTGTATTCAAGGTTAGAAATTTTTGTTCAGGACTTCTGAAGATTGGCCATCTTGTGCTATTGCTCTGAGTCCCATTTGGATTTCTAAATAATTAAATAAGAGACATTAGAGTTATATTGAAATTATTGTTAGATAAAAAGAATATTATTCTCTAAAACTGTTAACAAGATTCTTTAAACAGTCAGGAAAAAAAGGGGATATATGTTGATAATGTCAAATATAAGTGAACTGGGTTCAGTGGTTTTAGTATCTTGAAGCACTATTTTAGTTAAAATTTTAGGAATCACAATTTATACGTGAATTTATTACATACATTTCTATTTTATATATAGAAAGGAAATATATTTTTATTGCATTAAAATGTTCTTTATTCATGCTTAAATAAGGGGAAGTATTACTTTAATTTTCCTGTCTTCCTTTTTCCTAGGCTCAGTCTTTTCAGAATAAACAAAAATATCACCTGCTCAATATCTCTTGCATGTATTTTATTCTACATGTCCTTATCAATACTGCCTGTGTTTAGGAATGATTATACATCTCCATATCGTGTAATAACCTCATCCCTCTAGGAAACTGCTTTCAATATCATTTATAAGTTCATCTTACATTCTTCTAGTTCTGTATGCTAATTAAAAATATTTTAATAATTCCCCACTGAGTTCAGATTAAGGTTAACACATTTATAAGTTTATTTTCAGATATTCTCTTTTTTATTTGTTTATTTATTTTTGAGACAGGTCATGCTCTATTGCTTAGGCTGGAGTACAGTGGTGTCATCATAGTGCACTGCGACCTCAAACTCCTGGGCTCAAGCTGTCCTTTTGCCTGAGCCTCTCAAAGTGCTAGTATTACAGGCTTGAGCCACCGCTCCTGGCTTCAGATATTCTCTTTATTAGCCAGCCAGTAGGAATGACCTCCTACTAATTATCTAGTCTATTTCATTTCTTTGCCTTTGCTCCAGCATTACTTCTGCTTGTAATTCCTTTATTGTCCAATATCATGGGTCCAAGGCCAGTCAGAACCTTCATATTACTTTTTGATGTTATTTCCCATATTTATAATTGGAAATATAATTTTAAAACCAATAAGAATTGACTCTATTTTTAGACATTTATAGTTTTCGGTTCCTTTATATTTTTGTAGCACTAAACAACACATTATTACCAATGTCACAGAAATTTAGAGTTTTTTTAAAGTTGTTCGAAGTAGTCGGTCACTGACAAGTCTATAGATTTTCCTATAATATATCTTCATGTTATTATTATGAGTTAGACACCGATCTAGGCTCTTGAAATACAAAAAATAAATAAATTCAATTAAATTTTAAAAAAGCATATGGGGCACAGTTTCCCTCAGGGAATGTATAATCAAGAACACTCATGAAAACGAAGAACAAACAATATAAGATAGCCTAAACTAAGTTTAAACAAAGGACCACAAATTGTCAGAAAAGAGAGGAATCACTACATACATGAAAGAAAATTACTTGAAGGGATGAGATTCTGGGTGAAGTAAGGAGAGTAAATAAGGAACTGAATCAGAAAGGAAAGTTGAGAAAACTAGGAAAAGAGGATAAAATTAACACAGGTATTAATAATGAGTCTGCTTCTTAGTTCAAATAATGATCAAAAATCTACTTTTATTGGATTCTAGGATAGAATGAGATACCATTGAGTTATAGGTTTAGGATATTAGTTTTATCACATTAAGATCTGATAGCCTGGTTTAGACTTGAACTTGGAGGGCTTTACTATTCTTGAGGAAACTTTTTAGATGGTTATTAGTTATTGGGAACATCGTATTTTAGACATACTGATCTGAATGTTGTATTTAGAATAATCAAGAAACTATAAAGTAGTCACAAGTGCTTCTAACATAAAAGATTAAAGTGATAGGATAAGTTAATTCATTCATTTTTCTTAGATTCATTCTACTTTAAGAAAACCATATAAGAAACACTCTAGTTGAACTTTTCTAAAAATTCAGCACATAAAATTCTTCATCATTCAAATAGTTTTTATAGAATATTAATAGCTAGAAATTCGGGAATAGTGTTAGTATACATAAGACTTTTCTTTTTTTTTGGTCAAAGTCTCTAAATTCAGTAGTACTTGGAAAGAGAAGCAGGTATTCATCCAGCATGATTATCTAGAGGCAGATTTTGTCATCAAGAACTTGTATTGAATAAGCACCATAAATTCATATTTTATCATAGATGCAGACATGCTCAACCATGAATTCAGGAGCTTTATAGATAAATAGCTTCCTGATGGACTAGTTGATTTTATGTAGGAATTGGATGATTTAATAAGAATTATTAATAACCAAAGCTATTCAAGCTAAACCAATATCTTAGCAGGGTTGAAGCCTCCTGCATTAGGGTATTATTTGAGAGAGGTCAAGAAGAAAATTTCTCGAGATCACAGATGGCACACTTGTCTAGGTGAATTATGTCACCTTTTTCTTTTCTTTTAAAGCTTTAGAAACTAACAAGTACAGCTGCTGGAGGCTGGATATTAAACCAGGAGAACCTTTGGTATGATTCGGTACAGCAATTCTTATGTTCCTAAACTGCCCACTTTTCTTCTAATTCTACTCTAATTTTCTTATGGCACCATTTTATCTGCACATTCATTTTAGGCTTCTGCAGATGGTGATTTAAACAGAGCTGACTTGTACTGGAATCCAAGAGCAAGCACTAATGACACTGCCAGTGTTCATTTAACAAACTTTGTCCTATGAAATAATATATGACATTTCAGATTATAATTTATAGATAATAAGATTCCTTTGCCTATAGATGCAGATATAGTTTCCAAAAAATGATTGAAATAGCTATTGAAGTGAAGGAGCATTTTACTCTAGAATTTGAAGAAATCTTCAAAGACTTTAAAACATGACAAAAAATATAATTCTCTTCTTGTCTGTATCAATTAAAAACTTTATTGAAATACAACATATTTCCCAGATACACCATTCCAAAACACTATATGATTTTTGTCTCAAAATTATAAGATACATTCAAACATCTTGACTTTGATATTTCTCAAAAACATTTTTTGTTCTTGTCACAAAATAAAGATTTTAAAGTGGTAATACCTAAAATTTTCTATGAAATATGTTAGGTAGATAGTGAAGGATTCTAGGTCTCCTAGGGACAAAAGTGGGTGCTGTTGCCCACATCTTAATCCTGCTACATCCTAATTCTCCATACCTGGGGGAGGAGGAAATACTGTTTGAATCTGCAAGTCAGAATTTGGCACTCCAGCTGCAAAAGAATGCAGAGGACTCTCTAACCCTCAGGACAAGCCAAGCTCCATGAACACCATACGGTCGAGAAAATGACCTAGAACCCACATGCGTAGTTAAAGTCAGGTCATGTGGCTCCCAACTGTCTAAGCAACGTGGTTCCATGGTGACCTCTGAATCACAGGGAGGTCCCTATCTGGACACTGTGAAATAAGATGCAGACCACAGACAAGCTCTCTCTCTTTGCCCTTCCTTTTGTCTTCCCTGCTGCAACAATGGGTCTGGTCATCCATGTTGTATGTACCATGCTATGTAAACCTATTATCTTGCTCTTGCCCTTTAATCCTATCTTTCTCTCCTCAATCAACCTCATTTTCGTATTCTCCTAACTTTGGCATGTCTGGCATGTCTTCGACCATGGACGAGCCAAGAACTGACAGTATCAGACTAAAAACCTGACAAATACAGAAGTCTATGTTCTTTTTTTACTATCAGGTTCTTTTTCTACTTTTTGACATGCCAAAATGGTCTAAAAATCATTCACTAAAATTTTCCTCTTACGTAGGTTTGAGTTTTCAGACATGGCTTATTTAACAAAAAAAGTCAGAGTATCTTTCCCTAACATCTGTGTTACAGAAAATAACCTGCTTGTCATTGATATTTGAGCATGTATTTGATAATTCATTTTATGAACATATTAAAGAAAAACATTAATTGACTCAGTATGCCTTTCTATGAAGAAAAATACATATTAGCTTCACAAATAAAGCTTTCTTGGTATCACAGGATCCCAGTCTTGCCTACCCTATCTTAACTCAAGAATTAAAATTCTCTGATTAAGAATTCAAAGGCACTTTTTTCTAAAGTAAACTATATCATAATTTTAAAGTGACTGTATTACAATGTGCTTTAAAATCTAGTAAAATGAAGCCATTGTTAGTAGTCGTAACTTGAAAGTCCAGCAGAAATATCTCACTGTCATAAGAGGATTGAGGAGAAATAGTTTATATTGGGTAATTTTTAAATATGCAAATATTCATAGATTCATATTCATGTTATGTCTCACTTAAATAAAATTCTATTTCAATTTAAGAAATAGAGGGGCTATAAGAGAACTTGAATTTGGAAAATAAATTCATTTGTTTTTTCAACCATGACAGAGAGTATGACAGGAGTGAATGACAGGAGATTCAACAAAGACAAAGTAGAAATTTCTGTATCTTACAATTTTTATATGATGGAGAAAATAGCCAATAGAAAATATCAACAAAGAAAATATGTAATATGTTAGACAGTAACGTGTGTTAGAGATAATAAAGTGGGGAATGGGGATAATGGGAAATGGCAAGTGATTATCAGTGTGTGGGGGAGACGGTGGTGAGGGAGCACATAATAAAGAATTCGATTGGCCTTTTGTCCCAGGTTTCTGCCAAGTAACCTCTAAACCTTTGGAGTTTCACACTGTACCTGATAATTTATGCTAAAAAGGTGCCTTACAGTGAGCATCTGATAGTTTAGGGTAATAAGATGACTCAGGATGGGGCTGGCCATGCCAATAATCTTAGAGTGGGAACTGGCACTGCCAGAAAGACCAGCTATGTGACTAGAAGGTTGGGACTTCTAGCCATGTGATATCATCAACCTGATATCTAGGCAGAAAGGGGTCTGCAGATTGAGTTCAACCACATGAGCAACAATTCAATCCATCATGCTTATATAAGAAAATCCAACAGAAATTTTCAGACACAAAGATCAGGTGAGCCTCTTGGTTGGCAAGAATGTGTACATTGCCACAATTTATACCATGAGGGTAATAGATCTTGGAGAAGAGAGA